GAAATATAAACTACATATAGGTGGAAAAAACATCATGGGATTTCTACAGAAATATTATGATATGTACAAAAATTATGGAGTTAAAACAATGGTGAGAAATAAAGCTAATGCACAAAAAAACAAAAAAATAATTGAGTTTTACACACATGAAAGAAACAGTGAAATATGAAAGGAAGAAAGCCCCACAAAATACAATACCACCAGTTAGGTGTAGTGTCTGTGTCTTCAGTGAAAACTTCTCAGGAGAAGGCAGAATAGGCCATCCTCTGTGGCTGTGTCGGATCATGATGAGCAGAGTGATGAGATCATGTGTCAACATCATAGAAGGAAAAAGAACATGTTTAAGAACAAATAGTAATGTGCTCACTCATATAGGGATTTTAGATATAGAGCATCTGTTTACCAGCCTACAATACACATGTCCAGAAGAGCTACAAAATAAAGTGTACCGTAAAGGAGACATACATGGTCTCCTGGAGAAGGGTAAATAGAGAAGTTCTCCTGAGTTAATCAGGAGGAAGGCAGGAGGGGAGAGGGAGTTAGGAAAATGAGAAGCAGAAAAGTGAAGGGGAGAGGAGGTCATGAGAGAGCAGAAATATTTGGTCATGGAATGAATAGAGGAGAGCTAAAAAACAGACACCATATTTGAGGGAGAAATTGTAGGTTTGAAGAGAAATATGTCCAGAGATCTACAAGTGACCCAAACTAACAATCTAAGCAATAGTGGAGTGGCTATATGAAATGCCCTTCTCCAATATTGAGATTGAAGAGTACCTTATATGCCCTCCTAGAGCCTTCTACCTGTAGCTGATGAGGCACAAGCAGAAACCCACAGCTAAACAATGAGCTGATCTCCTGGAATACAGTTTCAGAGAGGGAGGAGTGATGAGCAAACAGGTTAAGACCAGGCTGGTGTAAAACACATAAACAGGTAACCTGAACAAGGGGAAGCTCACGGTCCTAAGACTGATAGCTGAAAAACCAGTGTAACACAGTTCCAGACACCATGTGCCTAGATGTCAGTTTGGAGTTCTGGGGAATCTTGGGGCCTCTGGTAGTGGATCAGTATTTATCCCTAGTATACAAATGGGCTATGGGAGCCCATTCCACATAGAGAGATACTCTCTCAGACTAGACAAATGGGGGAGGGTCTAGGCCCTGTTCCGTATGATATGACAGACTCTGAAGATCCCCAATGGAATCACCCTCCCTGTAGAGCAGAAAGGGCATGAGATAGGGAGTAGGTGAGGAGCAGGTGTGGAGGGGAGGGAGAGAGAACTGGGATTGACATGTAAAACAAGATTGTTTCTAATTTAAATTTTAAAAAGCAAAAACAAATAGTAATTACAATATATGTGTGTGTGTGTTTGTGTGTGTGTGTACAAGCAGTAAATAAATTTCATATGATTAGTAACATCAAAATGAGGACTAATAAATACCAAATATCTAGACAAATGGTGTTAATATTAATATAATTCCATATTTGCAAGTAATGTACAGATTACAGATGCTGTATATACTGATGTTCACATAGGTTCCCTTCCTTTGTCCTAATGATCAACATAACTATAAAATATATACAGAACCAGAGTCAATCTGGTATCAATGAAATTATATTGAAAATAAGAACAAATTCACTGAAATTCCTATCCATTTCTTGTTTGTAAACTTACTAAAATTGACAACATGCACAAACACACACACACACACACACACACACACACACACACACACTCATAGAAATACAAAATTATTTGAAAAAACTGGTGGGTTCAAAATTATCATATACTTGTTATTATTATTTAACTCATATTACAAATGCCAAAAGGCATACTATGTAAAAGGTTCTCAAAACTTCTAGGACAAGTCAATACAACATGAAAATAGACTTTTCATTCACATAACACCTATATTTGATTATATATTTATTTATATATTTGGAAGTGGTTTGTGCATATAGTTTTGTGTACAAGTAATGAACGCCGTAGCCTAACTAAGAAAGTGGAACATGGATAGGGTGGCAGACATGTGATAGGTTGGGGGGAGTTTTAGGGGAGTGGAGGGAGAGGGAGAAGGCACTGACATGTGAAGCAAGCTTGTTCCTAATCTAATAAAAAAAATACAAAAATTGTCCAATATATTTATGGTACCTTTTAAGGACAATGACCAGCATGTCTGGATATAACTAATGGTGAACTCCTGGTTCATTTATCTTACAATATCTAGCTAGTATCTACATAACTGAACCCAAGTCCTGCTTAAAACAGGTAAATCATGCTTTATATTTTAAATCAGCATTCATGACAGGGCTAGTGAGTCTGTGCAATTAGAGGCCCTTACCAGGATTTCATCAAACATGATGCCTAATTGCATTACCATGTTGTCATCATCTCCACAGAATACTGTAGAGCTAGGTACAAAAAATGGATTCATTATGTTATGTTTACATATTAATACATATGAACTTAGATGTGTATATCTGTAGCAATATAATTAATGAGGAAATAATGAATTTGAAAGATGACTGATTAGTGCACAGAAAGTGATTAAGAGATAGTTATATGAATAATATATAAATGCTCATCTATTGTATTAAATTCTCATTTTTTTGATAACAAAGAATATGACAAAGGGATTTGGCAAAAATCCCTGGGTGAGGAGACTTTTATGAGTTTTGGTTGCCTCTGATAGGCTGTATACAATCATATAGAGAATAGATTTGGGTCAATCAAGAAAGAGATCCTAAGCCTAGTGATGGAAATCCATACTCTGCAGTAACTAGGGAGATTTCCAACAGAGTTGCTGTCCCATCTGCCTCTCACTCTCCCTGTCAGCTGTATTAGAAGCAGGAATATTGAAAAGAAATGCCAGGTTAAAATGTGATTTAACAAGGAATCCTGCTACACTTAATAACAGCCAAAATCACTCATGGTACCTGGAAACTGAACATGCATTAGATGGCTTGAACATAGAATCTGGCTATTAACCAGAAGCATCCATTATGTACAGGGCCATTCTGATTTCTGCTTACCTTATGCTACCTCCCTGTGTCAGTTTCCCCAGTGCTTTGATTAAACACATGTGTCATCACCCTGATTAGAACTTTATGTGTATCACAGTGCCCTACAAATATCTCCTTTATTGAAGAAAGTAATAACTCTGTGATTCCATCTTACACCTGTCAGAATGGCTAAACTCAAAAACACCAGTGACAGTTTATGCTGACGAGTATATAGAGAAAGGGGAACACTTATCTCCTGATGATGGGACAGACAACTCCTACAGCCACTTTGGAAATCTGTATGGCAATTCCTCAGGAAAATGGGAATCAGTCTACCACAAGATCCAACAATTCAACTCTTAGGCATATACCCAAAACATGCACATTCATACAACAAGGACATCTGTTCAACGATGTTCATCACAGCATTATTTGTAATAGACAGAACCTGGAAGCAACATAGATGCCCCTCACCTGAAGAATAGATAGAGAAAATGTGGCACATTTGAGTGCATGAGGGCTTTTATTTTTCCTACTTGGCATGTTTATTTGTATCATCGTTATTCAGATGATTTTAGGCCAATCATATTGCTGGGACTCTAATAGCAGAGCATCTTATATTACTAAAAGACACAATGTCATACCAAAATCCTTGAAAATCTGCCACATGCAATTCTTCTGCAACATTTGATTCAGCATTGCCTAAGATTTAGTTATGTGAGAGTTTTCTAGCTGTATCTATCAGGACTGTGCATGCATCCAAAAGAGGAATGCAATCATCATTCTTGTGATAGTTAGAAGTAACATTAATGCACAGAAGAACAAAATAACCCTAAGTTTGCAATATTGACATGCTTACCTGGATGTATCCAACAGCTTTTAAATCACACCTATGACCTGTACACACTATCCCTGTACAACAAGAGGAATACCATGACTAGGACTGGAAACATAGTTAATTTCTCAGTGGTACTGAAATCATGATTTTGGAGGAGAATCTACTTCCTTAAATTTGTTAAATTAAATCAACATAACCTCTGAGATGTATAAATATTTGTCCTTATATCTAAGGC